CATTATATGGAATACTACACATTATAAGGAATACTACACATCATAAGTAATAAATATGCATCATATGGAATACTACACATTATAAGGAATACTCCACATCATAAGTAATACTAGGCATCATATGGAATACTACACTTAAAAGTAATACTACACATCATATGGGATCTGGAAAGTTGAAGGTGCAAGCTACAGGACCCACATCTCCATAGTCTGGTTCCAGAACAGGTTTAAATCCCACCCCTCTCAGTGTAAACAAACACCAATGACCTGCGGTGAAACTGGTGCAACTTGAAGCCTCATGTTGCTGTTGTTCAGATTCCAAAAATACTTTGTATACAACATAGCAGCTTCCATAAACTGGATCCTGCTTCATTTACCAACAATGAGAAAAGAAGAGGACATTTGGTCTGGTGATTCTACAGTCAGTGTTTCTGACTGATACACCTCTGCTAAAGAATACTTTCTCATTAATTTCAACATTTTCATTTTGACTTGGGAAGATGACTGAGGCCTCAAAATGCATCCAAAGATGATAACACCACAGCCATTATGGTATTTCTGAAGTGAAGCTGAGTGTGCCAGTACAACAACAAAGTTGAGGTGTTGAAGTGTGCTGTAGTTGTGATTCTCGTTCATGAAAATTTTCACTAAAAATATTGTGCACTTTTTTTACGGTGTACCCCTCCCAGCGGGACTCTCTCACCTCTGTCGGTGTCGTAAAGATAGACGAACCTCTCCCACTTGAAATGATCCAGCAGGCTGAGAACAACTCCCTTCAAACTGGGCCTCATCTGGAGGACGAACTGCACATCGGCATCGATGGGGAAGCTGGGCGTGATGAAGGATGTGTGCAGAGCCCCGCAGAAGGAGGTCAGCGTGTTCATGGACTTCCGGTCATAGAAGCCGAAGATGGCGTAAACTCCTCTGGAGAACTGGGAGCAGACTAGTGACACAGAAAAAAAAATGCATTTGAGTCAGACAAACCTTATAGCTCGGATTCAAACTATGGTGCAGGTTAACGGTAATTATTCTGTTAATTATCAGTGCTGGAAGTTAAGTATTAGATATAAGTTTAAGCTGGGTGGGTTTGGATGATATTAATCATGTGAGTAAAGTAGTAGCTAGCTAAATCAATGTTTGCCACATGGGATGTCGGCTCCCCGTGGCTGCCCTTCACTTCTCCTTCCTGTTAATGCAACTGCTTGGTTAATCAACCAGAACTAATATGGAACTCAGTGCACCGGACACATCTTTTAATGGCCAAATACCCTGAAACAAAAGCATGCAAATGTCTGCAGCACTATAAATGATTTATAACAAGCCCTATCTGTGCCCACCTGCAGCCTGATGGAAATGGGTTTTGTTCATTTAAATATGAGCCACTTGGTCTTACAAGGAGTTAAGAATTTTATTTTATTTGAACATGATAAGTTTAATGACACTCGTTAGGTCAGGTCTTTGTCGAGTGCTATGCTTGAACACAAAAAAAATCTGTTCAAAACACAAAACAACGGCCACCTCAGACAAAGTTACAACGTGAACAGAAATCTATTTTTACAGCTCAAAGCTTTTATTTTCAAGGAAGAAAGAACTATACATCCATCCATCCATCCAGCCATCCATCCATCCATTATCTTTTACCCGCTTCTTCCATTTTGGGTCACGGGGGTCACCGGTGCCCATGTCCAGCAATCACTGTGCGAGGGGCGGGGTACAACCTGGACGGGTCGCAAGTCCATCACAGGGACACATAGAGACAAACGAGACAAACAACCATTCACTCTCTCACTCTCACACCTAGGGACAATTTAGAGTCACCGATCAGCCTAACATGCATGTTTTTGGTCTGTGGGAGGAAATCGGAGTACCCGGAGAAAACCCACGCATGCACGGAGAGAACATGCAAACTCCACCCAGAAAGGCCCCCGGACCAGGATTTGAACCAGGGCCCTGCTCGCTGAGAGGCAGCAGCTCTACCAGTTGTGCCACCGTGCTGCCCAAGAAAGAACTAAATGATTGGATATTGTACTCTGTTGTATCACTTGTGTAGTCTGAACTTGCCAAAATAGCCTTCACTTTATGTTAGATCACGCTGACTGCTGTCTGCTGCAGGTAAGATATTCAGCTTAGAACTTCTCCACACAACCCCAACTTAAAAAAAACCCTCAAACTTATTCATTTCAATGCACAAATCTTTAAACAGTGAAGGTCTACTTCAGGGCTATTCAACTAGATTGTTCAGGGGGGCACAGTTACTGAAAACCAAGAGCTCAGGGGCTGGACATCCAGCAGTTATTGTCATTAAGTAAGAGTATTTTATGGTTTAAAATCTTGTTTTAAAAACGAACCCATTGGTGGGCCGAACTGAGTTCATCCGTGAGCCTGGTTCGGCCCCCAGGCCGCCAGTCTACTTACTCAAACGTGACTATTCTTACTAACTTTTGAAACTCAAGATGATTTCAGGAGAATTCCACTGTTAGTTTATCTTCATCATCTTCATCTACTAGAAAAACCATTGAGTCCAAGAGACTGGCAGCAACTCCCGTATGACCCTGAACAGGATTAAGTGGGTACAGGTGCATGAAATTTGAATGCTTTAGAAGAAAATGAGTAAGATGTTCAAAGTACTTCATGGTTTCCACATCACACCAATGCTTCCACCTCAGTGATGTACAGGAATTGCCCCCATAGAAAGACAAAAAACAGTGACAAGTCTGCACAAAACTGGAGGCATAAATAAAGAAATCCAGATTCTTACAAAGCGTGGGAGAACGCATGTCAGATAAAAGGTCAAGTCTGACAAAGACATGTTTTAGGGTCACCTCAGGGACAAACTGTACGTTGAGCTACAAGTCCTCTACAGAGAACTGCATGTTCCGATCCAAACTGCAGCAGTCTGCAGTGGAAGCACAAAGAACCGTGATCACATGACTGACATCCTCCATGTGTAAGATCACAATGAAGCTGCTCCGGTGTTTGACCTTTTCGGATGCTGCAAATCAATCAACTTTGGTCCTTTTCCTTCGGTCATCATACTCTTGTGAATGATATTTGGCAAGCTCAGACTGCACAAGTCACATAAAAGAAAAACAAAATCCAGTCACTTAGATTTTTCATCCTTGAAAATGAAACCCTTTAGCTGTAAAAATAGATTTCTGTTCACTTTGTAAATTTCTCTGAGGCAGCCATTGTTTTGTTTTGTTATTTGCTGGGTGAAGAAATATACTGTAATTTTTGGCATATAAGTTACATTTATTATGCATCACTGCTGGCTGACCTGTTACATTTATTATGCGTTTATTTAATGGTCAAAACTGTTTCATTTAGCCTGGGCGCTGGTGCGGCACCATCCATTCATCCATCCATCACGGCCGGAGTCGCTAGCTCCCCAGTGTTCCTCTGCATGCACCAGCTGAGTGAAGCAAGTGCACATGTGAGGACTCGCTGTTGCAGTTCTTTGAAATTTAACAAGATTAACACTTAAAAACAATTATTTGTTTCCTCGACAATATTAATCAGGTCTCAATGGGATTAACCTGTCTAAATAAAGGTTGAATGAATGAAAATTATAGCAAAGGTGTGTCTCAGTTTAACTTTTCCTTAATAAATGCACTTTAATGGTCAAAACAGCTGCATTTCACCTGGGCGGCGTGGCGCCATCCATCCATCCATCCATCCATCCATCCATCCATCCATCCATCGCAGCCGGAGCCACTAGCTGTTGCAGTTCTTAGAAATTTAAAGCTTCAGTCAAAAATTGCGTTATGAATATGGGAAAAAAAATTTATACAAATCGCTTTGGTGTACAAGTCGCAGGACTGACAAATCTATGCAAAAAAACTGCGACCTATATGCTGTAAAATACGGTATTTACTGAAAATTGTATAAGGGCAAAGCTTTGAATTTATAACTTAAAACATGTTTTTTAGTTGATACGTAGCAGAACTTTACCAAGACCTTAATGAGTCCAACACCCCTCTAGTTTTAAGAAGAAGACAGTCCCCACTAATCCTCATATTGCAGAATTCATTATTATATTAGTCCTCAGTCATTTCAGACATTGGCTGTAATTGCTAATATCATTGTATCAAAGTGACCAAATGGTTGCAGGATTCGGATTATCAGTGCAGCAGTTAGTCTTCATAATGTCACTGTGGAGGTTTCTTTAAATTTTTTATTTCATGTTTCTAAATAATGAAAAACGTGCAAATCGAAGTGTCGCAGGGGCACCCCTAAAAAACTTTTTTTTTAAATTTCCTCTAGCTATATAGGATTAGTAGAACTTTCTAACCCTAAAGGCATGGCTGCCTCAGAGGAGTTGACCGGGGAGAGGGCGGGCACCGGAGACCATCTTATCACAAGCAAACTGTTTCTTTTGCCCACTATGAGAGTGTGCCGTTTGTGGGAATCAGTTTGTTGTGGCTCCTCAGACTGAAGAAGTCCTTTGGATGAAGGACGAAACTTCTCAGTAAAAAAATAAACCGTCCAGATTATTTTTACCTGGATTATTGAGCATGATCTTTGGTGTTTTTAAACAAAAAAGAAAATTGTCTTGGCAATTATTAGTTTAAAAACAAATATATTTCATTTAAAATTAAAATAAAACCTAACATCTAGTCCCGCTGAATAAGGACAACCGGTCTAAAACCAATGTCCTCAACATTAGGATGTAGGATCTCAGGGGGTTATATGTGATGAACTGCTGGGTAATTTGACCTAATTATTATACTAAAGGGACATTTTGACCATTTTTTTAAAAGTCATGCTCTGTCAGATAGTTATCAATAGTTATCAGAAGGGACTTTAGTCATAAAGCACGCAGTACAGAGTCATTCATCTAAAAACAGTTTATGCTCAGCGCACATATCACTAGAGAGCAGCAACAAGCTCAACTAGTGTGCTGTGCAAAACTATAGACTTTTAATATTAGCTAATGTTCTTGAACAATGTTGCTTTTGAGGAAAAAGTGTTTCAGAAGCCGGATAAACATTTTTAAAAGCATTCTTGTTTGGCATTGTAGCCCAGTAGCCTAGCCTGGGGGAGACTTGTGCCCTTTTCTCCACACTTTGAGCTTTATGACTGATATCATGGCTAATAAGGAGCTGACTACAGTTTGATCTCTGTGTTGTGTGTTTTCCATTCTCATCATGGGCCGCAACGTTGCCCAATTTGTCTCAGTTGACGACTCGCACCCACAGAACGGGGCACGTATGAAGTGAAGGCTGAGTAGGTGTTTCTCCTCTGGCAGTGCTGCAGCAAGTTGGCTGGAGCTCTCGTTTCACTTCCAATTACATCTTTGTAAAACCACATGTTTGCTTCCACTGGGTGACTCCCTGCTCATTACACTGAGAGACTGGCAACACTTGTGGGATTAGCTCTGATCTGAATTAAAAACCAACAAGAACAACTAGAAAAATCTGCAGCAGAGTTGTAGGTTTGGCCGGAGGCTGCTGGAGCTTTATCAGGAAGGTTCACTTGAACGTTATTATTACTGCACGACTCTGAAAGTGCTGCAAACATTCAACCCACGCATTGTTTGCATCAACTGTAAAAAATATCATCCAAGGACTGAGAAATCAGCATGGTCGGTGCTCAGAGACAACATTAAAGTGTTGGGAGTACTGGAGGGGTTTGTTTTGATCCGTGAAGAACAGAATGTTTGCAGATTGTAACCCCCTGCTTAAAATAAAAAATATTTTATGGGCTTAAGTTTAGATATAATAATCAGCAATATTTTAGAAACTTTGCAAATTATTACAAACATTTGCTATTTTTATCACCTCATGTAATTGTCTATGTGCCTGTGTTTGTGTGTCTTTTAGCACAATATCACATTCTCCAGTGGATGGATTTTAATGAAACTCTCAGAATTGGATGTACATCTACAGAATAATTTAACTTCTGGAGCCAACTCCATTCAAGATGGCCACCATAACTAATGAA